AGATTTAAATTAATTTTAAATTTACAAATTTATCCTTTAAACTTGTAATGGAGAAGGATATAATAAAAAAATTAAGGTTAATTTTGTAATTACATTTAACCTAATATAAACAGTCACTCAAATCCCTCCCAAACCCTCCAAATCGGACGGATTGCAAATCTGCAGATTTGAGGGTGGTTGGAGGGAGTCCGAATCAGTCCATCTCCCTCCCCCTCTGCCTTTTTGGAAACCCAAACAAGAGGAAGGAGACAGCCCCCCTCACTCCCCCTCCCTTGCCATCCATCCCCATCCCTTCCCCTCCCTCTCCGTCCGACACCTCCAATCCAAACAATACCTAAAAGATGAAAATTTTAGAAAAATTTAAGGGGAAAAGTTTCCCCCCAACCAAACACCCCTTTAAGTTAGTGGGTACTAATTTGCTCAAGCTCTTGTTGGTTAGAATAACTTAGTTGTACATTTTTTATTTACAATTTTCACATTTCATTAAATGAGTAGATGCATATAATATCACACATTTTATTAAATGAGTCAATACAGGCATGTTCTGTATTACAGTTCTTGTGAAGTTTATTTGTTCAAAGATCCTCGAATTTGATAATGATGATGCACACTAAGATGTATGCAAAAAGAGTAAAATTTAACACGTTGTTCATGTATGAGCAAATGTTACCAGACTTTATTCACATAGTTCTGTCAACAAGTTCAACTTTTTGTTTTTTTCTTCTCCTTTTTGCCCAAGTTTACAAGCGTTTTTAAGCTTTGAACAAAGAATTATACAATAACAGGATTCTGTATTGATGCCTAAGCTTCCCGTTTGGGACGGTTTCGAGTGCGTGGAAGCGCAGGCTCTGGTTCTGGCTCTGGCTCTGGCTTTTCCTCTTCCTCTTCCAAAGAATTATCATCATCCTCACGCTCATCATCGTCATCCTCCTCCTGTGCTTCCTCTATAGCTTGATTGATGGCAAGCTTTTTCACAAAACCATAAAAAGTCAAGAATATTTTTCAAGAAGAAAATTAGAGGAAGCAAAGAAGGGCGATTGGCAGAGAGTGTTAATTCATGAACTTCTTACAGTATCAATTCTTGAAGAGGAAAAAATGTTATTTCACTCCAAACTGTCACAGCAAAGGAGACACTACAGCAGAACTATTCTAAACAAACGACACCTTTTCTTTTTCCATTTGATGTTAAGAATACAAGCTAAGGAATTCCATCCGAGTAGGTGAAATTAGTTTACATTTACACCTTATAATTTAAAGGACCAAAGCAATTTAATGTATAGATTTTTTTTTTTAAAAAAAAAAAAGGCTGTTCTTGAAAGCCTTGAAATTTCATCACTAAGACCATCCTAGATGATGTGCACAAGGTCCTCTTGCAGACGAGGAAAATGTAAAACAGAGTAAGCCAAGTGGATATTAGAAAGAGATTTTCAGATTCATAAGTTGCATTACTCATTTACTCATTAAGGAGTTTTATCAAACACCAAGTGGGCATATACCCAGAATTTCAACTCTTCTGAAAACGCCATCCTTGGGAAAACAGAGCCATCAAACCCATGAAATTGCACCACTTTTAACCAGAAATCCAGTAATAACTTCAGAAAATGTACCAATTTACTTTATTTACGATTTCAACAAAACCGCACAGGAAACCTTAAACCAAAAAGGAACCCAGAGCGCGAAAGATTATACCTCTTCGAGATAGTCACTTTCGAGCTTATCAGCAACTCTGATAGCAGTAAATATAGTAGCGGCGAGGAGGGAGAGAGGGAGCGCGAATGCGAAAACGTAGCTGCTGGTGCTGGGACCCGCACTGGTCACAACAGTCTCGCCTCTTGTTTTCCGGCGGAAGGGGTGGCCGGAGAAGCTAATCGAAGTACAGTCCATTATCCGCGGAGGCCTGAAGGACGCTCGTTGGGTTGAGAGACAGAGAGAAAGGGAGGGTAGGCTGAGGAAGAAACTAGCCATCGCGCCCCGGAGCAACGGACAGAATGCGCGCACGCGCTTTTTATGCTTTTCTGTAGACAATAAGGGCCGTTTGGTTACCTGCCAAAAGAATGACATGTTTGATCAATGCCAAGAAAGGACACGTTTGGAACATGTCTGGTTACGGTTAAAATGTAAAGAGTGTTGTTTTGTAATTTGAATTATAAAATAAATACTATTTAATGAAAGAAAGGTCTTTAGAATAAAAAATATGTTTTTTATTTAAAGAATCTTATTTATAATTCAATGCAATCTAAACTATAAGATTATTTTTTTAAAATGTAAATTTTTTTTTTTGAATATTTTGACACGGGACGAGTTCGAAACCCGACCAGGGGAGGGGGAAATGCACCTAGCAAGCTGGCTAATGCCAGTGCGCCTTTAGACCCAGGTGCATTTATTTATTTTTTCTTGGGTGGGGTTTGTATCTGAACTTCAATGAAGGCCGTGTCTGAGAAATTACAAACAACATTTCCACTATGGTAACAGATTAAAATGTACATGACGAGAAGCTTCTGTCAATGTCAACAATATGCATACAAAGCGTCCGTTTTGATACAGCTTTTTAATTACTTTAATTTTTTGATATTATTTATATTTTATAAGTTTAAATTTTTTTAAAAAAATTTTATATTTTTAAATATTTTTTTAATTTAAAAAAAAAACACTAAATAGTAAAAAATTAAAAGTTTCAAATTTAAATTTTTTATAAACTTTTTTTACTTATTTTTTACTTATTTTTTTCTATTTTTAAAAATAACTTTTAAATTTTTTCTCTAATAAAAATTTAAACTTATCATTCATGAACAATAAAAAAAAAACAAAAATTCCAACAAGTTACACCAAACAAATTCAAAGTAAGATTGATGATTAATTGATTTAAAGAAGCATATTAATCCAAAATTTATATTAATTGATTATAGTGAATACCTCATGGTTAAATTTATTTTAATTATTATTTTTTTATTTTTTATTAAAGTTTATTCTTCTTTTTAATTGTTTAAATAAATTTAAATTAATTATTTTGATACTTAATTAGACGCAATTCTTATGAATTTAATACTTTTCTCACCATTATATTACATAAAACAACGGAGTACACTTGTTAGGGTGAGTTTAATGCATCAATTGGGATGAAACTGTATACCCGGTGACGCAAAAACTGACATGCTGTTTCTTTTCTCATTATTCTTCCTTTCCCTAATAAGGGACTTACATTGGATAGACTAGTCAAACAGAGGACGATGAGTAAGCAAAAGCCCGGCTAGTCCTTCATGCTTTGACGAAGTCGTCAGTTTCAGGTCCCGGCGGTGACAATGGTGGAACAGCCACTTGATGAGATGCAATAGCATCAATCTCCAATACCTTCCTGGCAGATGCTTGATTATCTCCGCCTCTACCAATTTTTCTTGAGGGATGGGATTTGGAGGAATCAGTTCTGGATGAGTTACTACTATCAATCGATGCTAAAAACTTGTCCCTTGAAAGAGTATTGGGGGCAGATGTGATAACAGAACTGAAGACACCAGACTCTCGTAAACCTTGTACTATGACCTGCGGGATACAGGAGAATGTTTCTAAGAAATGAATGGCAGGAAAGGGAGATCGAAGCCAATAGCATCAACACGAAGAGATGTAGAACTGGTAAGTAAGACCACTTTTCTATTTTTCACTTTCCTGATTAATCATGTTTTTCCCTTGGAAACTGCAAGTAAATGTTCTTACCATTGGAGCATAAATCCGCGTCAGAATACCCTTTCTCAGGAGTTTCATTTTAAGTTCTTTGTCACCCCATACAACATGCTCACGGTACCTTAAAAAAGCATAGCCCACTAATTATGTAAGGACAGCAGATTCATATTAATACAAAGCAGCTCCAATAGGATTCATTAGTTGAAAGAAATAGGACCATATTCTAAATTCAAAATACCAGTTTAGCATCTCCTCCTGTGTGGCAGTAGAAGCAATTATGAATGCCTGCAACAACGTAATATTTACTTAATCCTATGGCATAGACATATCGGTAAGAAGGAATAAGTATCTATTTGTAAGAAGGAATAAGTATCTGAAACAAGCAATCACACCTTATCAAACCCTGCAGAAACACATAATAAATCAAAATAGACAAGAATAAGAGAAAGTACTGGACTCACAGATCTGTCAAATTCCAACATGAAACATCTTTTGACATCCTCCTTCGTAGGCTTGCAGCCACACCGATCACGCCTTGATGTCAAGTCTGAAAATTTGGTATATGTGTAGTGCAGAACAGCAGCCTCTTCCAATTTGATTTCACTGAAAAGAACACATTGGATTATACCATTAGTGTAGTCAAAATGCCATTTTAACAGCATTCCTAATGTTTTGAAGGACGTACACAGACAACAGGAGGATGAGACAAGGACATATATACATCATGCACAGCATGAGTAAGTGTATACGTGACTGCACGTATGCGTCTCTCCTTAAATCAAAAAATCTTAAATGCAAGTGTCTGGGCTGATGGAATAACCATACTTTGGGGTTTTCATATAATTGTGCCATCTATGGGCACCATTTGGACGAAGATGATCCTGAATACGTGCAACTGATTTTCCATTCCCATAAGTCAGGAAGTAGTTTGGATTACCACGGGTTGATTCTTTGTACATGCCAAAGTAGGTGTCTTTTGGAAGATGATCATAGTTCTTCTTGAACATTGTTACCTGTTTGCACGAGTACAAGAATAAACCATTTTCCAAAGCTATTAATATCCTTAGAAAAATTTAAACATAGATGATATAAAATCCAGAGTTTCTAACAGCTGCAAAACTAGTTTCCTACTGACACTTCTGATTCAAAATAATTTTGAAGAACAAAACAACGCATAGCTCTTTCTTGCCAGATATTGTCTATTACAAATTCTTTAATTCTGATAAGATATTTGGCCGGTGCTTACCAAGCATTGCCTTGTTAGTCAGTCTTTTGCCTTGTTAGTCAGTCTTTTGAAGGTCATCAGCCTATGATATTCTATATAATGATATATAAACAAGACTCTTGCACCATGTCAAACTAATTAGCCTACTGAACTAAGTCATAAACATCAAAGGTGGTTAACAAATAACAGAGAAAATTTACCTCACTAAAGGGGTCCTTAATATCATCTCTTTCAACACTGCTCTCCTGAAAAATCGACCAAAACAAAGTTCAGAATAATTTGGATTGCAGGCCAAGATCTAAAATGGAGAACAAGCTTGACAATCTAATCACCCATTAAAATTTTCTTCATTGATGTCATCACAACAAAATTTCCCAAAGAATTTCAATAACGACACTCACATAATTTGGAAATACAACCATATCAACATTGCTAGGCACATCAAGCAGCAATTGCCTCAAAGAATATTCACTAGTGCCAGCTGGGTGTATCAATTCATCAGTGTCAAGATGAAGTATCCAATCCATTCCTGCGTCCTTATGTTTCATAAGGCACGAGAATACAAATATTAAAATGTGTTAAATATTGATTAGTGGTTACAATAATTACAATTAATAAAAGAGTATGTGAAAGAACAGAATTAATCAGACTGCATACCCTTGCCATGACAATTGCCATTTCCATATTGAGTGATTGCTTAACAAATAGCTCATAATTGCAAGGCTTGTAAAAGAAACTTGAAAGCCATGTCTCATTCCAGATCCGGCTGATAATAAAAGAAAAAAGCCAAAAGGAAGATCAAACTATAAGGAAAATTATTACTGTCACGGCAACAAACAAAAATAATGTGCTAAAATTGAGAAGTTAACCGCAAATCTAGCCAGTAAATGCTATGAATGAACAGGAGAACAAAAAGATCTTACATGAAAATCCCACAATACCAAACATAAGTACAAATACACACCTATAAAAAAAAAAAAAAAAAGAAGAAAACGGTGCATAAAAATGTTAATTTCTGCCCATTCAGAGCTAGACAAGTTGTAAAATAAATATTAGAGAAAACAGGAAAGAAATTGTGTTTGCTTTAAGTTCAAAATCCAATAGATATACTTCAAATACCAAACTGGGTTCTAACCTTTTACTCTGCTGCTCCTCTAGCTCTCTTGTTCTATATATCACTTTCACTCCCTGAAAAAGAAACATAAAAATTACACCTTGAGGATTAAATTCACCTACCCCACTCATAAAATCAAAACCTCAAAAAACTAAATCAAACCGAGCATAGAGCAAATTAGTTAACTCACAGGAATAGATTCCAAAACTCTTGAAACATTAGGAGATGCAGCCTTCCCTTCCACAAAGAGGAAAAAGTCTGTCACTCCAATAACTTTATGATAAAACATCCACGGTAAAATCTGGTCTAAGCCAGCTGATGTACTTGTTGTAATACAGATCTGCAAATGGAAAAGCAATACATAAGCTTCCATAACCATAAATAATTAATCTTTCCACAATAAATGCTTGGACAACTAAATGCATAAACACTCCAACAGCTATCAGTCTATAAATAAACTACTCCAAAGGATTGCAGCGCAAAAACCCACTTCAATTGAACCCTAAAGAGCAAAAAGACAGGAACAGATCTAGAAATGGAACAATTCATCATTACTCCTAAGCCAAATATGCAACAATAAGCATCATACACTAAGGCCATCTTCAAATTTAAGAAATCCATCAAGAAATGTAAAGAAATTCACGAGCCAAGCAATGCTCATCGAGGCCAAAAGAGCTAAATCCACAAACAGATCATGTGTAAAGTTCATCAAAATTGATATCATCCAGAAATTCATCGTTGAAAAACAAAATGCCTGGATACCAATCTAGATCAACAACAAACCATACCTTGGGCTTTAAATTTGTCTCGATTCCAAACTTCCATTCACCGTAATAGGGGAACGAAGGAGAAGCGCTGCGGACAAGACTGGAGCAATCCGAAGACGAGGAGTGGACCTTGGGGGCAAGAGAGGCTAACGTCTCCATGCCGGGGAAGACCTCGTGCTGGGATCCATGAGGTGCCCATCGCGAGGTGGAGGCGGTTGTGGCGATGGTAGGATCGGAGACGGCTCCACCACGCCACTGAAGGACAAAGGCCAAGAGCGCGAGGGAGAGGGGAAGGACAGTGAGGAGGACGATGAGCTTGGAGAGAAAGGATTGAGAAGATGTGGAGGCGGAGGAAGAAAGCAGAGGAGTGGAACGGTGGTGGTGGTGGCTGGGCATGGTCGTTGACGGAGAGAGAGGAGAGGAGGGAGAGGGAGTTCCGAATGGCAGGGAACCGTTTGTCTACCTTTCTTATTTATCAGACTTCAACTTAACTGAATTATTTTTTGTCAATTTGAAAAAGAGTATAGTTTTCTTTCAATTGTACTTCAATTCTCTTATTATATATTCCAATTATACCTCAAACTTTTATTACAACCAATTATGGCCAGTAGTTTTTATTTTATGTTATTTGTATTTTTATTTTTGACATCTCAGTGGCTGTTGGACCAGTGGGATTGATTATTTTGTCAGGTTTATTGTATTTTTATATTAATAAGGTTTAAAAATAAAAGACTTTGTATATTATTTTTCTTTTAATATACAAGAGCTTATAATTATAAAAATTTATTTTTCATGTGTTTACACAGAATAAAAAGTAATTATTAATTAATAATTATTATTTTTTATTTTAAAAGTGATGAAATTAGTTATTATTTTAATTATAAATGACATTTGTTAACTTTTTATTAATTTATTTTAAATTATAAAATAAAAATTATTTTTTTAATTTAAACTTCACATTTAAAAAAATATTATCACAATTATTATCTAATTATTACTCATATCCTATGTCCTAAGTAGACAAGACAGACAAACCTTAATTATAATTTTCTCTAAATACTTTTTCTTTGGTAATGTGAATAATTGATTTTACACGATTAGTTATTATAACATTAAATACCTTTTCTCGTCGCGTTGTTGGCTGATGGTGCCTCTAATGGTTTAATTGCCTACGTATGAGTTGTCACTTGCATTTAATCAAGGTGCTTCTTTTGAGAAAAAGTCAAATATTTGAGATGAAAACTTAGGGTTTTTTTTTTTTATCTTAATTGCACAATAAAAGATAATTATCTCTCATCTCTTATTTTATCCCATCTATATGCTATGCGATTCAAAACATCTTACTTCTAACAAAAAGAGATGACTATCGAGGAGTAAAAGTGTAAATAAGGACATCAACTTCACATTTTTTTCTATTTAAAGATGTTAATTTTATCAGTTTTTAAATAAAAATGTCAACTTCAACTTTCAATTTTTTCTAAATAAAAATGTTACTTTCAATTTTTTCTAAATAAAGATGTTACTTTCAATTTTTTCTAAATAAAGATGTCAACTTTCAATTTTTTCTATTTAAGGATGTCAATTTTTAACTTATTTTATTTAAGAATTAATTGGGTGGTGATGCTTATGTGGCTAACTTTTTTTTAGGTTAAATACTTGAATTGGTCCCTCAACTTTTAGTTTTGAATCAATTTATCCTTGAAATTTAGAAAGTATCGAAAACGTCCTCCAACTTCAATTTTCAGCACCAATTTCGTCTTTCCGTCAGTTAAGTACTGATGTAGCTAATTTTTCCATTAAGTAATTGATTATTTTACATTTTCAATATTAGGTAGAAAATCCATCATGTAAAAGATGATTATGTAGATTTTTTTAATTTTAAATAATTTTAAAACTATTTTAATTCTTAATTTTACTTTATTTATATTTAAAAATTAAAATAATTATATATTTTCCCATTTAATTAGTCTCACCTACCATAAGTAACTATTAATTTATAAAGAAATAAATTAACTCTCATTTAATTTTATTAAATCAAATCTCACCTACTATAATTATTTCCTAATTCATGGAGGAATTAATTAACTTTTATTTAATTTTATTAAATGGAATTAAAATAAAATTAAAATAATTTTTTGGTTCTTCTTCCTTGACCTTCTTTTTTGTTTAAATTATTAAAATAAACTATAATTATTTCGTAATTGATTCTTCCATGAATTAGGAAATTATTATAGTAGGTGAGATTTGATTTAATAAAATTAAATAAGAGTTAATTTATTTCTTTATAAATTAAGAGTTACTTATGGTAGGTGGGACTAATTAAATGAGAAAATATATTAATTGTTTTAATTTTTAAATATAAATAAAGTAAAATTAAAAATTAAAGTAGTTTTTAAATTATTTAAAATTAAAAAAATCCACATAATCATCTTTTACATGATAGATTTTCCACTTAATATTGAAAATGTAAAATAGTCAATCACTTAGCGAAAAAATTAGCTACATCAGCACTTAACTGACGGAATGATGAAATTGGTTCTAAAAATGGAGGTTGAAGGACGTTTTTGATACTTTTTGAAGTTTAAAGATGGATTGGTTCAAAAATAAAAGTTGAGGGATCAATTTAGGTATTTAATCTAAAATAATACATTAGCCACATCAGCATCACTACCCGATCAATCCTTAATGGAAAAAATTGAAAGTTGACATCCTTATTTAGAAACTGATAAAGTTAACATTCTTAAATAAAAAAAGTACATTCTTATTTGTACCTTTACTCAATTATTGAGGTACTTAAGTTGTTGGCAAAACTTAGTCATTGTAAAATTAATAACTTGATAAAATTACCAT